CTAATACCTGAAAATACATCATTATGTAACAATGATTCATCTGGCAAACCCCCATTGTAACATAACTTGATATTATTCCAGAACAATTATTTTCAAATGAATGAAGGTTTGTATTGAAAGGAAAATAAATACTCTTCCCCATTAAATGAGTTCAAAGAAATTTGATTCATCAAAAAAATTCCCAGCCTACCTAAAAAATGTTTCATGAAGATTCAAGAAATTGAAAAAATTTTCAGGTTTGTGGGTTCCAGATTGATAAAAATATTTTTCCAGAACTACTGGTCGATAGAATTTGATTTACAGAGACTGTTTTGACTTATTCACAGTCGAGCCCCGTTTGTATTTCCTGACATTCATGCTTTTGACTGTGGATTCATGTGAAATTCATTTTCCAATCATGTGCTGTGTCATATTGATCAATGATAGTGTCTTGGTGTAAAACAGTGATTCAGAAATATGTAATAGGGAGAAATTATAATTTAGTTAACAGGGAATTGAATTCTGCTTCGTGAACATTTTTAACTTTGAAAATAACAGAAATTTTATGACCAATCCTAACCATCCCACTAAATACTAAAGCATGCATTGAATAAACAACTTCAATGAAGCATCAACTTACGATAGTCCGCCATCAGGAATGTATCGAGCGTACAACTCATCTTCCGGCTGCATGCTTCTGTACCCTATGGACTCTAGCCGTTCCGGTTCAAATTCTTCAGCTGTAATTAAAAAATATTGGCCGATGCATGTTCGTCTTGTTACAAATGCATACATTTATGTGGCAGGATGATGGTAAGTAGCCTAGCAATTATCACAGAATCAATCCATACCAGATTCAAACTTGCAAATATTTCCTACTCAGCATAACCTTCAAATTAAACCATATTAAAACGCCATAACAAATTTATTCATCATACCTGAAGATTCAACTTTGTCAATTTTAATTTTAATAATTTCATATTGGAAGTCTACACTGACTATAATAAGCCAACTAACAACTGACATATTTTGCATTCATTTGAAACGGTTTTTCCAAATTGCTCTGGGAAATTCTATCTTCAGGTTGACAGGAGGCAATGCAGCAGATTGACCAATGAGATGGAAAACCCGTCAACTGCTAATTACAAAACCATCAATTACCAAGCTTGGGCCATTCTAAATCACACATTAGAAACAAATTTTCCTCCATAATATTTCCATCGCTATTCATCGCAGAGATGGGAAATTAATAGGCTGTCATGAACTGATGCTAACTTGATGAAAATTTTTCAGTGTTTTTTTTTTAAAAGTTCCAAAAATTTACAAAATAATTTTCCATGGTACAATGAGTCATTTAGGTCAAATGACGTGTTCTAATTGGTTAAGTAATAAGTCATGACATTAGTTAGAAAGCTGGATGAAATAATATTGAGAACAAAACAAACAATAAAGAACATGCGAGTCTGGACTTTCTACTGATAATTTTTAAATTCCAAACATAAATTATGGCTTCGATGAAACAAATATTATTTTAGTTCATGTAATAAAATTTGGATCGTCTGTTCCTCTTTGAAAACAAATATGAGAGATGTGAGAGTGCATGAATAAGGCCCAAACTAAACCACAAGACATTTTGGAAAATATCAATTACTGAGGCAAATAAAATAATCATGCCGAAACCATGATTTAAACAATCACGAAACCAGATTGACTCCCAATCCAATCAATCCTAATCTCAATATTAAATGCAAGGATTCGCAATCCTCACATTCACAAGACCATTCTGGAACAAACGCGTTTAACGTTACGATCTAACACAAAATATGCCAACACCACAAAACAACATACAAAGCAGGTACTTTCCAAAGTACTAGTACAACCGCAACATAATACATCCGATGTAAAGAAGGATTATCTTGCGTTACACAAGAATAATAGAAATCACACTTGCATTACAGCATGACTAATGCATGTAACAAGACCCATTGAACATAGAGATAGACAGTGCTGCATAACACATATTATCTAATATCGACTAAACCAGATAAATTTTATTGGTAACAGTTACGGTATTATACAGGGTTATCACTTCTACCTGATACAATAACACCACTAACAACGCAAATAAAACCTACTTGTCTGTTTCTTTTCTTCTGTTGTGATTTGTTGTTGACCTTGACACATTGTGTTCGTTTCGCCGAGTTTCTCGTCGATAATCTTCAAATTCTCAATTTCTGAAAGAGTAATCGAACCAAGTCCTGAGTCAAAGTTTTCATCGGTGATCGACGCACATTTTTGGTCGTCATGAAAATCATCATGCGATTGTGACGGCATATAATGCGATGTATTTATATTCGACATTTTTTATGTCCACAAGAGTTTTTTCCTTATACTATTTGCTTCAAATGCACTTGATACTGTGATATTTGAACTTTAATTCAATGCGATATATTGTACGTACTTCTAGAAATATCAAAATAGGTTGGTTGCCTGAATATAGTTACATGAACAGCTGAAATCATTTAAAAATAATAATAATTTTTTTCAATTTCAGAAATGTGGTACTTTCATGACTTCATTCCTGAATTCATTATACTGTTTTAAGATAATGGCCAAAATGCCTGCCACCTGCTGGAATCGAGAAATTCCATTTCTATCTGGTCATATCAGTAATCACAAAGAGCCTGATAACTTCATATACTCGTTCGTAAGCGCATAATCATACTGTCTGCCTGTCTTATAATTCCTGAATTCAGGTCAATATGGCGAAACTGTGAAAGAGTCAGACGGGAAGCAACTAAAATTTTATCAACATATAGACAATAAATCGATAAAATAACCAACTATCAATCTGCAGAGATCGGAAATTTTACATTGATATATAGACGAAACAGTTCAAAGCAAAGTGTG